AAAAGATTAGTCTATAAAGAGAAAATGTAACTTTAACAGAAATTGTAGCTTAATCTGTAAATTAAAATATAAAACTTTGTATACAATTATTTTGATCTATTGAAACGTTATAGTCTGTTAATGGGAAAGAGTATTCAATAATTTTAATACCAAATCCTCTCTTGTTTTGTTTTGTTGAAAATAAAAAAAACAGACATCACCTGTACTTTGAAAATTCCGCTGAAAATTTAAACATCAGTTTCAAATATTGGTACTTATTTGTGGAGATTGACATTTAGTTAATTGTTCAATATCATGAAATTCCTCCATTTCTTGTTGATAGATTTACCTGAAATTTAACATAACGAAGTCTTAGACGAAATCCAATAATGAGTGCAGGTCCATCAATAATTCAGATGTGGACGGCTCGTGATAAAAGGTTAACAGCTATCAATTCATTAAAGTTGAAAGGTGATACTTTTTCTACCTTATATTGGCTTGTACATTTTAGTGATACATTGTTGTATATTAAAATGTACTAGTAACTTAAGCCTTTAAATAACATGAATTTTGTAATGGTAAAAAATCAATACAGCTCTTCTTGTATCAGGTGTCAGAGGAATATAAAAAAGTTTAAAACTTCATATGAAAAGGTTTATCTTCCCTAATTGTGGTTGTTTTTCAGTTGTGGGTTTTCACGAAAGGTATATAGTTTCATGCAGAATTTCTTGTAAATTGTACTAAAACACCTCACCACGTGACATGTTCATTGTCTTTTTTGAGGCAGTTTTCTAGTTGATAAATACTAGCTCGACTGTTATAAATTATGTATATTTACCACAAACTTAAAAAATGTTTGTAACTAATTTCATGGTATTTATACATCTTTTGCACTGAAATCTTTCAAATATATGGAAAAATTACAACTGATTTTATATATTCCTCTTTTTAAGGCAACTCACTGTCTTTTTTTTAAACAAGGCATGTCAAAGGATGTTATAGCAAAACTTTTAGTCATGGCACATTTGATAATAAATTAAACGATATATATACATGTGACCGGGTCATGTTAGACTATGTACTTTCATGGTAAGCAGTTTAGTTCCGAAATCCTTTCTAAAATAACACATTTGCGAAGTCATCTATTGGAATGCATTTTAAAGCATATATTCATGTTAATTATTATTTATATTTTAAATAGTTTCTGAACAATAAAATTGAGCCGTACCATGACAAAGTCAACATTATGCGTTTGCGACCAGCATGGATCCATACCAGCCTGCGTATCCGCACAGTCTGATCAGGATCCATGCTGTTCGCTATCAGTTTCTCTACTTGTAATAGAGTTGGTAAGCGAACAGCATGGATCCTGATCAGACTGCGCGGATGCGTAGGCTGGTCTGAATCCATGCTGGTCGCAAACACACTATGTTGGTTTTGTCGTGACGCGGCTCAAATATTGTTTATGTATACAAACAGAAAAACTTCACTGAGACTATGATACTTCTTATTAACACGAAAAAGGTCCTTATTTTGTTTGTATCGGGGAGATGATTAAAAGTGGTTTGGGTTAACATTTTGTTTATGAAATACGAAAAGCGTTACTTGGATATTTTTTAAAGTTTCGATGTTTTTAATTTGGCATATAATTACTCAACTGGATATGTTCAGTTTTAAACGAACAGCAGACGATACCATTTTGTATCATACAATAACACAAATTGAAACGATACCAGAATACGCTTTCGGATCTATTTTGACAACTGAAAATGATACCATCTTTTGATAAAAGAAGACCTTATTTCCTTCAGTTTCAATTTCAAAAATGCAAACAAAAATGTCGGAAACCAACGTTTTCACTTTCACTAGCCCCAGTCAAGTTTCTCATTTGTAAAAACCTAAACGTGTGCCTAATATCTTCGCCTAAATACTTTCTTTTCATGTTCGTGAAACACAATATCGCCCCGGTCGACATTACTTGACAGAATCTTCCACTTCATTAGCTGCACACTATTTGTTTTCATAGCTGACTTCGGATACTCTCGGACCAAATAATGGCTTTTTTCAGCGCGTGCCATCATGTACATTATTTATTCTTTAGAAAATCTTAGCATGTTCTTTCTCTTTTTCAGAATATTTAATAGAAATGCTATGTGTCATAAAGCTAGACGCTAAAAAGGAGTAATAATGGAGAGAAGAGAAGAGTAAAAATGACTAAATGTTGACCTTAACACAAATAATTAACCCATGATGCCATACTTAAAATTCAGGATACGAGTAAAAATTTATCTTATATCCAGATCACTTCTACTTCATACTACGTGTTAAACACTATCTGTAATTAAGGTTACGTGTAAAAACATGTAATTCAGGTTAAAAGATATATTTAATTTAGGTGACCTGTAAAAAGTATCATAAAGTTTGGTTACGTTAAAAAAATAAAAGTAATTCATTCTACGTGTAATAACTATCAATAACTTAGGTGACGTGTAAAAACTTATATGTATTTCAGGTTACGTGTACAAACTATCTGTAATTCAGGTTACGTGTTCAAACAATAACCACAATGACTATTCACAATTTGTTAGTTGGACTAACAATTTGTATAAACCAAATATTTATCTCTTCCTATCTTAAACAAGCCGTTATAAATCATATATCTTGATATGCTAAACTTGAAAGCCTCCTAGGCCTATCAGACAATGACAAAGGAGTTTTCCTATCAATAATAACGCTGCACATAATCTTGATAGCAATGCAACAGTATCACTTGCAGATAAGATAATCTGGATTTTGACAGCTATAGTTTGAAATTTTATTCATATATAAAGACATCATTATTTGTCAAGGCTCGCCTATATTTATGTAAAGGATAATAAAATGCACGTGACGGCCATCATTATATACTTAATACTAGACATATCAGATAATAAGATATTTACATTAACAGTCCCAAGTATTTTTATGTGTTTGTTTAAACTGATATTGATATCTGTGAAAAGGCTATTCTTTACAGCTATCCGGTATCGGGTTTTTAGCAAAACTGTTCCGTGTACGTTCGACTGTATTTATAATACTCTTAATATATGAAGTATTGCGACGAAAGAAAAAAATATATGTTTTTAAATATCGGTGTATTTGAAAAAAAAATGTATAGAATAAAAAGTAAACAACAAGCCTTATTTCAATAGCATATATAAATATTGATTGTAAATGTAAATAAAATAATGACGGAATATCTATTTTTGTTTTTGGCATAATGCTATCAAATATGAAAAGTTACACGCAATTCAAGCCACTTTGTAAGATTATTGAAACCTTTTATCAAAGAATGTTAACAAATTTACATGTAGAACATCAATGACACGTTAATTTTGAATTAACATTTTATCTGTTGTTTCAATATACTTTCCTTTTTTATCTTTTTGTATCATCTATTATTACAACATGTAATATTAAATAATTCTTTTTATGTTTATTATTACATGAATCAAGCCGTGTTGTAGGTAAATGGCTTGTTAACATTAACAAATTTTGCCTAGTATACAAAAACGATGAATATTTTGGCAATTTAAAAGAAATTTTGGGGAAAAAAACAAACAACAACAATTAATAAATATTAAAAAAAATGAAATAGCCTTCCTTAGATTAGTCGGAATCTAGATAATATAACAGTACCATTATTTCAACCTTAGAAATTATAGAACTTGTTAAAATACCGACAGTAAAATAATCTGGAAGGAAATTTTTATAACGCACGATATCTCGAGCGAAAAAAAAAGTTTTTATTTCCTAGGCCAAAGAATGGCGAGTTGTGCTTGAAAAATCTTAGGCGTTAATTTTATTGTAATGTACTCTGCCATCACCTGGTATCAGATACTCCAAGACTGGCACTAAAAGAGAGGAATTTCATTGGCTTTTAATTATTCAGGAGCGAGAGATATCCATCTCAAAACATGAAAGGGGGGTAATAAACGTCAAGAAGTGCCTGTTGCCGTATTAAACTTATGACTGATCCTAATTGAGAAAACGACTATCATTTAATTAATGTTTCTTAGCGAGTTTCAGATTCCTTGGTAGGAGGTCCGAGAAGTTGTGTTAGAGCCGCGACGTGTGGATGTTTTGAAGTGGTATCCCCGGGCGCGCGTTATTACCCATATATTGTACGGTAATTGTTGCGAATAAAATAGTAATAATTTATAATTTCAAAGATGCTATCGGAATATCTAAAAACTTAAATACTTCGTTACGGGGGTTCAGATGTCTATAACTCATGTCAAATAGACAGATAAAAACATTTTGAACAGAAATGGAGTTTCGTTTCCCCCCAGTCTGAATATACAATGTAATATGTATTATGAAAGGAGATATTGCTTATTAAAGGTGAATACACTATTACTGATAGCGTTTTAAGATCAAACCGTACAAAGTATATTGGCATGCTATGTGAACTTGATTTTCAACGCAGCATTATCATGCATCGATTTTGCATTGTCATATTTAACTGTGACGCTAATTTGAAATCTTTAAAAAGAATCAGACCACCTTAAAAGAGTATAGAATTCGCTATGATTACATTGAAATGTAATACTTAAAAGCTTTAACAAGCTTTTTGCTGAATTGGAATGATGTAAAAATTGGCTGAAATATTTTTTAATTTATTTTTTTTTGTTGGTGTATGTGACGCTATGAAAAATAAAAATAAAAACGCGATAAAAACTTTCACAACAATTACGGTGTTCATAAATTTAACAATGTGTAAGATTTTATAGTCAATTTTCTTAAGCGTAATATTACATTTTTGTATAATTTTGTAATTACCTTACATTAAAAAGCTTGTGTGTCTAAAGAAAAAAAAATCGTGCTATGCTTTTGAATTTTAAGCTGTTAGCCATGACTGTTTTAATTCATTTTTTTATAATTACCATAATTGTATTTTTAATTTGTTTGTCTCATGTTTTTGTCTTGTAAAAATACAAACTTGATTCTTTATTGTATAAAACTTGAAATTTTACACTTACCTATACCAATTTAATCCTTTATTGTAATTTTTATCAAAAAAGTGAGGTTCGGGACCCGGGGCTTTAACATCAGGGTGAAGTCTAAGGTATTCCAAAAGAGCCCTAGTTCCAGCCTTTTTAACTCCTATTATAATAGCGTTAGGAAGTCGCTTTGTTTTATTTTTATTATCAATGTGTAATCCCCGCGTGCGAGATTTCTTTTTCTGATGTGCAATATCTTCGTCATCTAGAAAAAGAGAACCCTGTTTGTCATTATAATTCCATTTATTTTTCTGTTCCTTTCTTTGATTGAGGTCCGATGAGCCAGATGTCATGATCCCTGAATTAAGATTTGATGAGATATCTGTATTGTCTGTTCCAGTGACGTCATCATATGAGGTTTGTAAGGTTCGAACGTTATTTGTACGTAATATAGCGTCACCCGACGTAACGCTTGATAGCACCAATATACTGACCATGTAAATAAAGAAACATACGCTTATAGTAACGCCGTACATTATGAATATATTTCTTCTACAAGTAAATCTCCTCAAAATGTTGCATTCCTTAAGCATAAACAAATCTATAAACACTAATTATTAACGTATTCTGCGCTTAACATTTTCTATTCACTTAATCCTATTTCTAATTCCTTTTAATCTGCTATGGTGTGATCTTAACATGTCGATTTATTTGACAAAATTTAATCCAATATTCCTGGATATTTTACACTCCGGCATTGCGGTTTAAGTAATCTAATAAATGATACAAGCACACGTGCTACGAATTCCATGAATAAAAACAAAAGGCACAAAAATTATCTGAAAGTAAGTAAACACATTTGCGCTAATCAACGGTCGCCAACAACTGCCAAAACATATCTTTTGGCTTGTAGAGTCTAAACTATTCGTTAGCGAAGACCGTTTTTCATAGCTTGTAGCCTTGAGTAGTTAGTTAACTCTACAGCTTAGATTTTTCCGATACGGCGCTGTACAGTGAAAGGGGCGGAGCTTCGTAAACGGGTAGTTATTCATGTTTTCAATGTACAAAGATTTTCGTTAATTAAATTATTACAAAAAATCCCTTTCAAAAAGGATTTGAGTATAATTATTTTACATCAAACGAACAAATAAAATCCGCCTAATTTTTTTTCCGCGATTTTTACAATACTTTAAATGTGTTTACATTTTACAATCCAAGTGTTACTCGGGTCGCCTTAATGATTTTAGCTAGTGCGGTAACGCAACATCATAAATACATTATCTAAAAGTAATTTAGATGCAATATACACATTTTGAACGTATTAATTTCAACACAGTTTCCATGGTTTCGGTGTGAGAACAGCTAATGAAGTAAAAACTGATTATAAATCGGCAAAAACTGCAAGAAGACAACACCTACTCGTTTTTTTCCCGTTCTAAATGAGACTAGTTTTTTTTGCTCTTATTTTTTGATAAGCTAAACAGCTGTCAATTCGAGAGAAATGAAACAGAAAGATTCACAGATTCAACACGCGAGATATTGAAGAAAGTATTCCTTGCGGCACTAGATCTGTGAGAAGAATGCTAGGTCATTTAAAACTATTTAACGTCTTGGTATATACACATGATGCAAATATATAACAAATCATTGTGCCAGGCGCTATTACGGCATCTCTGGAAGATTTGTGTACATTAAACGGTTAATTAACGTAAACGAACGCATCTCTGAGTGTATTTTTTCTTTCAAGAAAAAAAAGAACATTTATTTACCTCTAATAAAACCTAATTACAGATTAAACCCTGAAGTTTATAGCCCTATTGTCGTTCATTAGCCCTCAATTTATATAAAACATTACGTTTATAAACGACTTAAATTATCCTCGATTGATAACTTTTTGTCATACAACAAATGTTACGCGTGCTAAAAAAAGCGAGGGAAAAATGACACGACGTATATTTTTAAAATAATGAGTGTTTTTCTCGAGTGATTAATTATGAAAACTGATCTCAAAGTCAACCCAATGTCACGATAGTACGTTCTTAAGGCTTAAACAATAATTTGTTAGGTTATACCAGAAAAAAGAACACTATCTGTATTTGAAAAATATGAGAAAGATTTAAATCTATATTTGTAGCCAGCTTCCCACATTTCTTTTATATGATTTAAATCTCTTAACAGGAACATTACATTTTGAGTACAGTAACCTTTGTAGACCTCACACATTTGCTATCTTAGGTTATTTATATAAAAAAAGATATCTCTCGTTTATGAATGTTTATCTAATGGATAGATAAAATTTGAAACAATTGTTATACATAGATGCTACTGATTGAAATAATGACTAAACTAAAGTTCATGTAAGTCTGTATGATAAATAGACACGTAGGTTAATTAGTGTCACCTAAAGTAAGGTACATTTAAACATATTACCATTATATCATACCAGATTATCTTTATAAGTGTGTGTCTGTGTGTGTGTCTGTGTAAATGTATATAAAGATTAAGAAATAAACTTGAACAAGTACAGTTTTCGTTTAATGTGTAATTTTTTACCACTCAAGTAGACCCGAATCTTGAATCTTGAAGTCGGTCAGCAGGTACGCACCGTAACTGCCAAGCGGCCGCTCTTTTCGGATAAAGCCTCTTGTTTTAATAACTTACGAGTTTCATATACTATAACTATTACATGACGGTCATGAGTGAAGTACTAAAATATACAGACCTAAGTAACTTTGATATTACTGACACATCAAAAAAGCCTACGTAGATGCCTTTTTTCATCCTCATTTACATGAGGCTTTGAACGATTTTCCATCAATCATTTATAATTGTATTGGCGACTACAAGTTTGTATAATATCCTCTTTCCACACCAGATATAGCACACAAGTCGTCAGAAGCAAATATTGTGAAGTGTAATACATCATTCATAGGAAAAGATAAATAACAATATAACCCCGCACATCAGACAGGACAATCAAAATGTAAGCCAATATTATATATATAGTCAATATATAGAATGATCATAATATCACTAAACAAAGTAAATATAAAATATGCAGACGAATGTTGTGTAGAAGATGATAAAAAAGCAAACTTTCATGATTAGTTTATATGAATTTATTTTATTTGATTGTGTTGGTAGCCATAAGCTTATTGAAACACTCCCGAACCTGTTCCTTAAACCAAATAGTAATTAGTGTAAAGTTTCTTGATTGCAGAAACAACGGCTAGTCCCCGGCGGGGTTTCAACCTATGCAGCTAGTATTTCTTTAAATTACTAGTTTTATAATGTTTATGGTCAATATCTCACCTTTCCATAGATAATTCTATGTAACCGACTTGCCTTTTTTTCATCTTGTTATCCAATGTTGATGTTAGGGATTTCAATAAACTATTGAAGTTAGTGTTGAAATACTTTACATTTAATACGTTTTACAAATTCAACAAAGACGTCATCCATACTAATCTGTATATTATTAACATGTATTAACTTTTAGAAGCGACTTGTTATGTATGTCTCTTTTAACAGGGAATAAATAATAACCTTACCTAAAACATCAAATATTTTCATTGGTTGGAAAATATTATTGAACACTATAAAAACATAAGAGTATGCTAATTCAACTCATTTTAAAATAATGTACATTGTCGTGTTAACATCAAACATGGCTAATTAGATAGATATATATGAGCTTAGCCCAGACAATAAAGATAAAAATCAAACCTAACAAACCTAATTATCCCGTATGGTCCGACGAGTTAGGAAACACAACCAGCCACACCCATATTGAAAACACTGATTGTTAGGATGGTACATCATGGGGGCATGTTATCTTATAATGTCAAAATTGCACTTACATCGATGTTGAATAATATATTATACACACGCATGTTAGATCTTTTAATGTATTATTTTAAGGTTATATCAATGTTGGATGACAATATTTTCTCGTTCATTACAAGATCTTGTTTTTGCTACAGATTTGGTTTTCTAGACTTTAATGAAAATTTGCATGTACAATATAATCGTTTTAATGTTATGATATATAATGTTCAAAATTTGGGACACTTTGTCATCAACAACTGTTAGGGGATACTTCCACAACTTTACTTATTGAAGCAAATTTAACCTATTGTGATATTTAGATATAAACAAAATTGTTTCCAGCATTCACCAAAACAGCGATTAAATACAAAGCATAAATTATAAACTTATCACATACAAACCATAAGAATTAAACCGCAATGACTCGTTTTGTTAAATCGCGTTTGATCTATTCTTTTCAGCATCATAATGATCGGAATGTAAAATTTCTTCGGCTGAGGGTATTTTTCTTGAGGTAACTTAAGCAATAAAAAAATGCACAGATGCTTTATCCATGCCCTTTGCCCTTAATTGGACCTCAACTCAAATTATTTTTATGTATCATCTATTTTACCTATCATTTATTACATACTCGGCCACCCAAAACGAACGCCGCGTTAAATATACCATCTTTTAAATCTATTTCCTATAACATCTGGCATATTTTCTCCAACAAAACCATCTACAGATAAGGTTAAAATTATTATTATATTTCATGCTCAATTTATTTCCCAATTCTTCGATAATGGTTTCTTAATTTTCTTTTTACTTTACATGATATCTTATGACAATATTTTATCGAGCATGAAAATATTCGTCATTCAAAATTGTATTGTGATAACTGACGTGAAAATATTGGAATAGGAGATTTATATGTTTAATCATAGATTTGTAAAAAATAATCTTGGGAAAATATGCCAAGTATCTAACAATCATAAACTGCCTAAACCAGAATTAGACGGCGATTAATATGAATATATTAAAAATTCTTCTGTTCCTTTTGCATAAATATCCATGGTAGAAAGTTAAGTGTATGATTTGTAAAGCCACCTTGCGTAATTTATTATCTACAGGCTTTTTATTATCTCTTAGACTTGATAATGATATGTGTTGCCCTATTGAAGTACGCTCTTTAAAATGACAATTAGTTTTATTTCCCAATAAATTCAGCGTATTTCTTACTTGATTAATGATTTAAAATAATCGGTGATAAACTATAATGTAGTTTCAATGGCAAAAATGAATGTATAAAGCCTTTTTATTACCAGAAACGTTTATTATATAAATAATGGTGGCGTTGGTTTTGCTATGGTATGATGTGGCGCTTGCAATGACCGTTCTGGGGCAGATATATGCTTTACACATGTCATTTTAAAGTTGATTTTAATTAACCCAGCATTTCACTGACCTTATTTTAGAATTGTGAGACGCTATTATAATCTTTACTATGATAATTTCAGTGAAGGAATGACGTTGCTGTGTGTAAAATGTTTTAAGTGAAGATATATGAATATATAAACAATAACGAAACTATAGTAAAATATCAGCTGAGTTGTGAATATGAAATCTTATCACTGAATATTGCAAATGTTAGGTAATCTTAACTTTAGCATTCAACATGCCTGATTGTAACAGAAGGAAAGGAATGTTACCAAGAAAACGATACTAAAACATTTAACAGTTACCCAACATGTGTGATTAAATATTCAAGATCGTGAAATTTTACACTTGTGTTGACTTTGACAAGGATGTCTTCATCTTAACAATTGTGTTTAGCTCCGCACAAGTTGACATATGCGGTATTCGATTGATCAAAGGCGGTTTTTTCTAATCTGCCTAAACGTTAAATTGCTAGGTTTCGGACTAACGCTGCTGTAATGTTTGGACAACGCAATCGTACTAGATTATACAATGGTAGAAAATTACGGAGTATTGTGTATCAGGGACCGTATCAAACTGTTTGATTGATGGATAAAGTGAAGAACGGACTGTGTGACACGGATACAATTGAATCAATGGTAGTATAACGCACAGGAATGTATGTGGCATCTTAACAAAATCCAGCCACGGAAAAGGGTTAAAATTCACCACGTTGATATGTTCAGAGCGCCTGTATTGATTATTTCTATGTTTAAA